GATCGCACTTGATTCCGGAAGTAACGCAGAGAGGGAGCGAGAGAGGGACAGAAAATCCGGGACATGTCGGAACGACGGGACTGAAAGTCGCCGATAAAACGAAGGAAGAGAATTACGCTCGGCCGAGTAGAGATGAACGGAAGTTGATATTTCATTTAGGCGGATTTAAAGAATTACACAGCATAGTGATATAAGTCAGTTTTTCTTCATTCTGACGTTCAAACGTTTATTAGAAAGAGAAGGGAAAAAAGTTATAAGTACAATGCAATTATACAAGACCTGTTTTCTGCGAAAACTGATTCACGTCACTTTGCCGTCCAATCTTTCTAATCATTATATAATTAGTATAGTGAGGGAAGTGCGGTCTTATTGATCGAATAAGAAACATCGATACTGACTTAATCTATATATTGAATAAAACTATTATCTTTATGTTTAAAAAAATCAATTTCAAATTGGCCAAAAAGGGTATTTTTTGAAAATAATGCGATATAATTTAAATGAAACGCTCTGTACAATATATTTGTATACAGTTTATATAAAATCTTTACATTACAATGATGTTTCAATTAGTAACCGAAATTGTGATTAATTCCGTTTAATAAAAACTATTTATATATCATATTTATTTCCATATACGTTTGCTATATTAATTACTAATTCGTGTAAAATAACTGAGATAGTAAAATAACTGATTTTAATATATCGCTCTCTTATTTCTAAAGTAGCACAATTAAAAAAACATAATTTTCGAGTTATTATTACGAATAAGTAAGTAAATATTACCCTATCAAACATACACACAATCATCAAAAGCGAATTAACCTAACTTCATAAAAAATTGTCAAAACTATTAATTTAAAAAAAGAAAGATTTTAAAAATCGTCACAACTTACATAAAAAGAGTGATTTTTTAAGAGTTGTTTTTGTGAAACAAAAATGAAACATTTAAACATATTAAGAACATATTCTTTTTACCAATATTATTTGATTAGTAAATAATTTATGCTGCCAAGTTGAAAAACAATTTCCCTTTTTCTGACAATCTTAATTTTTTTTAGGAAATAGGAAATAATGGCCATAACTGTTGAAGCTAAATCTTTTAATGCTTAAATAATTCAATGTGAATTTGTATATAATATATATGTAACGTATATATACCGCATATTTGTAGTTATTTAAACTGTGCGCCGAAATTTTATCGGATTTAAAAACAGCTAAACTACTGAAATAATATCACAATTAAATTTTGATTAAATTTTGATGAAAGACATAATTTAGGACAAACCTCGGGTTTTAATACAATTAGACATTTTAATTACATGTTGTACGTCAATCACGTGTTGTATACATTATGTAAAAAAAAATTGTATTCAGAATTAAATATGTGTAACCTGAGTTGACATATAGTAGCATCGATGGTGCACGTCTAGAACAGAACGCGCGGTCACCTGAACGTGCCGCAAATTCTAATCCTATTAGGGTAAAGTCTAGTTCGAACCTAAAACGGAATTATCGGCTACCCGGGTCTAATACCGTAATTGCCATATATATCCCTGGATTATAATGTGATCGCTGACAAGTTTCTGCCATGATAATTTAAGCGCGTAATTCTCAACAGATATACGTAGGGTCTTACTCTTAACAATGCAGGCTTTAAATGGAGTATTGTATCAGTGGCCAACTATAGCTATTCATTTGAGACTCATCTGAAGTATCCTACGTCTCTTTTTACGTTCAAAAATAATGTATAGCACTACACTGAACGCTGCCAACTTCTATTTATCTCGCAATGTCTGTATAAAAATCAACTTGAATCCTTTGCCAAATGGCAAACTAATCTGTTTAACTTCGATATATATTATTTATGGCGTTTCACTGCGATTGCATATTTTTTAATAACTTCCGACGTTTCAATATTTGAATAATCTCTACAAAATAATCTCACAAAAAAAATACAACTGGATCAAAATAATTCTTTTTCCTTCACAGAATAAAATGTAGTTATTACTACTATTGAGCCTATTTTTTTATCATTTTTAATTTCGAATATCCCGGTAGTCTTCGTACTCTACCTCGATACATGATTACACACGTACATTAATCGCATCGCAAATTATTTATGGAAAATAGAACGGGGAACAAATCGCACCAATTTTCTACTCAAAGCTTTATTACGTCACGTACTAGTTCGCATACGGCACTTAATAGTTAATTTTAAAGTAATTCGATGATAGCCGAAAGTTATTTTTAACATAATTTTCTGACTCATGCGACAGTCAAATACGATGCAAGTCCCGCGTGAACGCGATATAAAATAGCGTAGTATATAAATAATATTTTTACATATAAATATAATAAATCTTTTTACAAAGGGCTTTTAAAAATATAGAAATAAAAAAATACAAAGGAGAACGAATAATACTAATCTCATAAATACAATGAAAAATGAGATATACGAATTAAAGAAGTATTGCAATATTAAGCAAAGCGCGAAGAACAAAAGAAATATATCGATATCACATTTGTCTTCATTATTTAACATGATGACATAAATGCGTTTTATGGCACTCATTACGTTCATCCGCTCTACCCTAGCAGGCCACTTAAATGTGACAGGACAATTCCGATCGACTTCGAAACAGCGATCGAATTTAAACCTCTGGTGCATTAATAATTTCGCTGCGCGATTATCATTAAGGCGTTAGTTACATGTAAAATATAACCGCGCGTGCACGAGTGTGTTGAACCAAAATGAACAAGATGCATTTAATAATTAAGCTATTTAATATAGCTCACGATTTATGGGAAATAATCAATTGTTATCCGGAATAATAATTGTTCTCATTTCTTTAAAATAGATTTCTCCCTTAGAATTTAAATTGCATTTTCCATATATCAATTTGATAATTTCCTATATCTTTGTTTTCGGTTAGGAAAGAGTATTTAGTTATTAGAATTATTTGTATTCTGTGTAATTTAATACTAAGAAGAACAAGAAGAAAAAAAAATTGAAATGATTAACGGAGACAAAATGGCATCATCGGCAGTTTTAGTGTTAATTGATATTGCTCATTGCAAAAACTTCGCTAAATATAATCCCATGGATAAGTACGTATATATATTGTTTCAAAAGCCGGACGTCCGAAATGCGTTAGTTACAGATAAAACAATGCTCTTGCTTGTAATCATGCTACTATTATTCAATTGTTTCAATCTCTTCGTTATCTGTCAGCCTGATAAAATGAATAATTTAATAAATATATATAATAGCACTCGTGTTTCATGCATTTACATATAATAAGCCAAAGGGCTATTATTTTATTGTATAATTATAAGATCAAATATTCAGAATTGTGAGACGCACTTTCATTAAAAAATCGTAGCTAAACTCAACCGTAATAAATACACGCAAAAAATCATTAACAATCACTTACGTAAACATCGCAATCGGAATTATTTTGTATTTTTCGATGAAAAATGCATGTTACTGAATAATTTAATCATGATTATCGATTAAATATATATATGTATATTACTGCATTAATAATAACATTAAATACAAACAAAAAGTTATTATTAAAAACTATCGTATAATTATAAGAGCAAATACTTAGGATTAATAAAATACTTTTTAAAAATCGTAAAATAATCATGGCTAAGTTCAGCGATCGTAAAAAATACGTTCGGGCAAAAATATTATTTACAATATAAAAATTAATAATCATTTTCGCAAACATCGCAATCGACATTATTCGCCGATGAAAAAAATCACTGAAAAAACCGAAGTAATTATAAGTGGAAAACCGATATATAGATAATAAATAAGCGAAGAAAAAAAGACTTTAGTTGATCAAAATATACGAATATCGATACCTGACAATATTTGCCATAACATTAATAATAACTATTAAATAAAAATATATTAACCCTACATCACACTCGCGTGAGATGTTTCTAACACCCCATGTAACATTACATCTTAATTTTGTTCTCTTTGATGATTTAAAATTAAATAAAGATTAATAATATTTTATTTAAATAAAGATAAATGCAATTTTTTTTCCGAATTATCAAACAATTTGCGCTAAATATAATAATGTATATAAATAGCATTCATATATTTAGCAAATTTATGAGGTTAAGATATTCTGGACTTTATGCAAGTAATGAAAGGTTAATTACAAATACAATAATAAACGATTTATTAGGACCGTATAATGTAAACAAACAATGCCTATATCGGTCGAAGCTGGATCTTGAGTGCTTCAAATAATTTAAATTTGTGAATTTACGTACCACAATTATAGTCTTTCCAATTGCGCGCCGAATTGGTTTTTCAAACTCAGAAACGCGACTAAACTACTATAGTAATATCACAAATTAAATTGACGAGCAATTTAATAATGTGATGCTCGATTGGTGTCAATTTAACAAATCGTTTATTATTGTTTATACACGCTGCCTGAAAAATGCGTATATTCCTTCATATTCGGTTATTATGAAGAATATTACTAATTGTAAGACCTCGGTGATCTAATCTAAAGGTTTAGGACGCTCGCATGGAATGCTAGAGATCCAGGTTCGACTCCCGGCAGAGGTAATATTTTTCGCAATAAATAAATTTATTTACCGATTTCCAGCATATTAAGATCTCTTCAATGGGATGCCTATTGAGCATCAAATTATTAAATTGCTCAATTTAATTTGTGATATTACTATAGTAGTTCAGTTGCGTTTCTAAGTACGAAAAACCAATTCGGCGCGCAATTCGAAAGACTACAAATGTGGTATATACACGAAATTATTCAAAGCACTCAGAAAAGATCCAACTTCGACCGATATGGACATTATTTCTTAGTTAATTATAAATGCAGTAATTTCTTTGATTGACTTCTTGCTCATTCAAACGCATTTCGCAGGTCAGGTTTCAAGCCAGTTTGGTTAAAAAACTGAAGGATTTTTCACCCCGATATCCCCGATCAAAACAAGAAGCTTACCTTGACCAGGGGCGGACTGTGCGCAGGAGGATGATAGTTTCCCGGTGATGGGCTCGCGGGTGGCCCCGCGCCCCCGGGCGAGATGGCACTGCCTCCGGGGGTGAGAATCCTGGACTCGTGACTGAACAACACCTTCCCGATCTCTTCCGCACCTCCGCGGACCCCCTCTCCCCGCGATTATCAGCCGGTCGACGGACGCTCTGGAGAGTGCCAGTCCCCGATCTCCAATCGATACGCCGATCCCGACACTTCCCGCCACACTTTCCAACCTCGTGTCGTTGTTTCTGACTTTGTCCTTAACTCCGCATGCGTGTTTCCGCAAATCTCGCTACGGGTCGGTTCGACCCGCGGGGGATCGCGTTAGCTCCGCGATGTATCTTCCGTCTATCGCGGTGTCAGATCACTGTTCCGCGTTTAACGTTAGGAACGCAACAATTCGGACAAGATACACTCAATGTGCTCTCGCAAAGACGAATATTTGACGTATTACTGACGTTACTGTACTGACAATACGATCACAAGATTGTCAATCTTGTTGGATTCATGCGAGTTCCGAGCGATGATACGAGGCAAGACGTCGCGTACAAGCACGTTGGACTTCTGCCGAGAGTTTCGTTTCTGTCATGTGGGGACTTGACTGTCACACGCGAATGGAACTTGATGAGGGTTCACGATATTCTTGCGAGCGACATTGATGGCGGAAGAAAATTATCAGTGTGTCAGTAGGTCAAAACGAAGCGTATCGTAGGGATTCCGATAAGTGGCGCAAAGTTGATAGAAACACTTGTAGAAACTGGATGCGTTTTCCGTCTGTTCAAATAACACTTTCGCGTAAGAGGGGAACGATTGAATTCCTACGTGTTTTTAAGACAACGTGGGTCTCTACAGGATCCTCTTCGGAACGACAGCTCAATGGACATTCAGAGTGAAATCCAAGCTCAAATTCTGATGCATCAGTCGAGTCGAGTAGAATAGTAGTTAGCTTCTTTCTCTTCTGTCTTTTGAATTTCTCCCACTTTCTATAGAAAGGTCAAAGTACCACAATTTAATTTTTGTGAGTTCAAGGTAGAAGCCTTCATGAGGCCGAGGAAGCAAGATAATCAACTTCACGTGGTTTGATCTTGTCGTTTCTCGTAGATGGACACGCGGTGAGCACTGCGACAGGAAACGACAGGACGGGGACTTCTTTTCTCTCTCTCTCTCTCTCTCTTTCGCTTTTCTTTCTCTCTTTACCTGCTCCGAATACCGTCACGCTAACCGCAAGGCGACAGAATCTCCAAACTGATAGTGCGTCGCGTGACGACGACGTGTCGCGGCCGCGGTGGAGTCGCGGACGACCGACGTTCCGTCGCGGGCCGCACAACGGGAAGCGTGTACGACGATAGGCGGAACCACGCGTGCGCCGAGCACGCGGCGAGGCGTGGTTTACGCACGTCGTGCACCGCTTCCCGTCTCTCTTCATCCGCGCGCTTGCCCTTCGCACCCTCACCGCCGTCGTCGCCTCGCGCGGCCGGCTCGGCGCTCCCCGACGATCGTCTATCCGCGAACGGCGCGACGCCGGTGCCCTCCGTGCGCCGCCACGTGGTTTTATTGGCCAAATAACGCGTACGACAAACATCCCTACTTTCATCCCTCTCGCCCTCCAGCCCTCCCTGCCACCCCAGCCCGTCCTCCCGCGAGCAGAATCTCTTGTCACCTGCCGGTGTGTCGTAACAACTCTCTTTCTCCCTTCCCCCCCCCCTCTCTCTCTCTCACTCGCTCGCTCGCTATTTCTCACCCTTTTCTCTCCACCCCACGCCCTTTCGCGGCTGCACGTAGGCACTTTGCGCGAGAAGAGCGGCGATAGTCGTCATGGTGTAAATCGCGTTTACCCCAACCTGTCCTCCTTCCCCCTCGCGAGTCCATGGCGATCCTTCGCAGAACGCGTTAGCCGTTCCTCGTCCTTCGCGCGCGTCCGCACGCTCACGAGTCTCCCTCGCGAACGTTACCACCCTTGAGTCCATTTTTTAAAACATGATTTTAAATACAATTAAGCACGGATTTAGAATCATAACAATTAGATTCTATCCTAAGCATAAGCCTCCGTAAAACAAAAATGGTTACGGAAAATAATGTGAGAATAATAACAATCTAGAATTTTAATATCCAGGTGTCATGACACCTGGCAAGGTTGAAGGCGTGAAATCTAAAATCGGATGGGAATAACGTAAAAAAATTTCTTGAATCAAAATTAATATTGACGTAATTTTTCACTGAATTTTCCTACGAATTTACAAAAGTAAAAGTAGGGGAAAAATGGATTTTGAGATGTTAATACAATTTATATTCAGGGATGTCGCTTTAGAATATCGAGGGAAAATTAGAATTTATCGATTAATATAGCTCGCAAATCCGTGTAGCCACTGTCTTACTATTACGCGATTCACTTTATGCGGGCGACGCACAGAGTAACGTAATTTTGGTTTACATTGTCTGTAAAAAGTGTATCCTTTCTATAGCTTGATATCGTCTTCCTCTGTTCCATATGTATTCTTCGTCGGTTTTTATATTAGCATTCTCGTTTTATGTAATATTTCTTTTTACAGCTTATTCTCGAGTCTTCTACTACGCTGAAAGAAAAGTATTGGTATTTATGATTATAGGTAATTGCATGGTAAAATTAAAATTGATTAACATTTTTACAGTTATTACTGCTATAATGTTAATAATAATAATTAGGTTGATAATTTCACCAAAAAATATACATACATATAGATGACACCAAAATGATTATAAATTATAGTTAAATTATAATCGCAACCATATTTTTTTCTCTTACAGTATAACGTTCAGAGAAAAGAACATAGGAATAGCAGTTATAGGTGTACTATATGTATTCATGACAACTATATACAAGCTTCATATGTAGAATTAATATACATAGTTGAGTTATATTTATAGTTATAATTGTAAAATATTTTATCCAACTATATACATATATATGTGCGTACATTAATTTTACACATGAAACGTATGAAACAGATAAAAATATAATAGTTATATGATAATAATGACAATAAATCGTCATTATAATAATTATTCATGATAATCATTATAATTATTTATTTTTACATAAAACTGGTATAATTGTCATCTATGGCACCGCATTTCTTTCTCTTAGTATATATTCAATAATTTGTGAAGTTGTCGTTAGAACCTAATACCTATTTATAACAAATATATTACTTGCGCTTTCATAATAAATGCTGCCATTTTTCGAATTGCGAATTTTATAAGAAATATTTGATCATTTCTTGATGTTTCTTTTTAATTCATTTCATTTTTATTTCATGTCCTACGCAGCGTAATTTTAAGTACAGTTTTAAAGAATGATTAATTACTTCAGTTGTCTTAAAAATTACGAAAATGGCTGTTTAAAAATAGATTCAACGTTAATGGAGAATTACGATGAATTTTCCCGTCATGGACAGTGAAGCGATTATTTTTTTTTTTTTGAAAGAAGTAAATAAATAATGATATAATACAAAATAAAATAAAATAATAAATGTGTATGCATTCAGATCAAAACGATCTGTATAATTGCAACAGATTAAAATTAATTGAAAATATCGAAATATCTCTCATCAAAATATTCGTAGGTATTATAAATGTGCACTGAGAGAAAAATTTCTGATTTTGTGATTATAATTATATATTACCATAATAATAAGTATTATTATTACAATGTTAGACATAACAGGGATTGGAAAGTTACTTTTTAAACCTAATTACCGTTACTGGTTATCGAATAAAAAAAGTATTGTAATGTTTATCGAAATATTTACCGAGGCTTCCACGAATACTTTCTATACAGAAGCTATAGCACGTTTTGCGGGTTTATATATTTCTGTATCTAGATCCATTATTAGAATACCAACGTTTCGTGAACATTGCAATTCACTTTATTAGAGCGAGGAGCAGCCTGATACTGACCTACTTTTTCGAAGGACTCGATTTATACACGATGTTTAAGGATGTAATAGAAGGCACTAGAAGGACAGAGAGCATGCAGGAGGTATAAGAGGGAAGAAGAGTCAATTTTTGATGACCGGGAGAATGATCTTTTATATTCTATTTATGTTGCAATCATATTACTTCTATTTAGATTATCGGGATGTTTTTGTAATTATTGGAAAGTATGATGTAGTATAGCTATTGTAGCCGTTTTATTAAACATAGTATTTGATGTCTTGTCTCAATGTTGTGTGTTATATAATGCTAACTACGTGACATGCTTTAATTTGACATTACATTGATATTCTTTTATCCATAGATTGACCATTCTCACACAATAAATAGTATATGGCATCACTTCTGTCAAACTTAAAAAAGATTGGTATTCATACCTTGTTCTTATATTAATACAGCTCTGTGATCGGTTTGTGGCATTCTTAAAACGTGATGAATCAATCACAGAGTTGCATTAGCATCTTAAGACATAATACTTAAAAGAATCTTGAAGTAAGAAAACGAATTGATATACGAATACCGGAAAGATTAAAGATCGAATTCATAAAAAAATTATGTCATAGATTCAAAATATAAAAAATAACAATAAAAGTAATTGTAAAATTTGTTAAAGCTACAGAAAATGTAACTATTACGTTACTGTTATAATTAGCAAAGAAAAAGGCAATTCGTTACATGTAACGCTATCAGTTACTTTGTAACGTTATCAGCCCGTTAGTAAAAAAATAACTATAACGGTAACGGCGTTACTAGTACCGAGTTAATACAATATATGTGTAGTTCTATCAATCGATTAATATATATATAGTTGGCAACCGAAAATGACTATAACTATAATTATATAGTCATTTTGAGGGGACAACCATATAATACGGTTTTTCAATATTAACGTCAAATTATTTTTCTTAAATCAAGCCTCTGTATCGCATCACGAATGGCAGGCGAAGCGATAATAGACATTTCCATTATCCGGGGTAAAAAAAATAATGACACCCGCTCACCAAAGATCTCCTCCAACCCGTTATTAATGCCTCGTAACTACCCGCATACCCGACTACAGCTTTCCGTCCTGCTGGTTCTGCGTTACTCGGCCTCCAGGGATGGTCGAGTTGCGACAAGAGGTGAGAGACGGAAAAAAGAAAGAGATATTCTATAAAAGTAAGAGAGACAGAATATATATATATGTAGATAGATAGTTAGATAGATAGATAGAGTGAAAGAGAGAGGGACAAAGCGACAAGCCAAGTTAGAAGCGTAATCGCGTTATGTGGTGACTGGATTACACCGCGCCACGTTTGCGAATTGCATGCTGCGAACACACGTGCATCCCCCTTCGATATAAGTAGCCACCCTGGAACTGACCAGCCCATTTGACGTAGAGAAAGAAAGAGTAAGAGAATGCCGCTAAAAATATTCCCCTTATCATCGGCCTCTTTTTTTCTTCTCTTCATTACTTCGTCGCGAAGCGGCAGTTTCCTTTTGCGAGGCTGTAAAATGCGCTGCGAATAGCTCACGCGGTTTCCGCGCGAAGCGCATTAAGCGAATTCCCGTCGTTTCACGCGGCTGAAGCCGCGACAGACGTGGCGAACTTTCGCGGGGGAGGAAAAGGGAATGACGCGTGTCGTAAAAGAGAGGGAAGGAAAAAAAAAGAGAGATTGGATGGGAGAGACGTAAATGCGTTATTCGTTTAGGTGAAAAATAGATTTCATTCTCGCGAGTTTACAGAGAGCACCGCTTCTATCGCTTTAAATTTTCACGACTAGCCCTTTGACGAATTTGGAAGTCGATTTTTTTTTTCCCTCGTCGGTGTCGCGGTGTCGCGCGAGTGAATTTAGGACCTTGGCAGAAATTAATTAACGCTAACTCTGATCGATTCTGCTTTTGTTGGCAAGGCATGTCATATACTGTTAAATTCATAATACCAAATTATACTCAATACTTGGAGTAATTTTTAATCATTTCCATAGGTTGCTACTACTCTTACTCAATATATCCATTAATTTAATTAAAAACATCGAGTTAAACAATTAACTCAAGAAATGTAGATAATTCAACTATACATAAAATAAACTGATTTACACTTTGACAAACATGGAAATTGAAAATAACAAGATGTTATTTAACTCAATGAATCGGAATATTCTCTCATTTGATATTTAACAGTTTGGATTGGAAGAAATATTTTTCAAATGGCTTCAATTATATTTATGACTGAAAGCTATTTCCGATAGGTTTACTGTAAAAGTTTTTTTACCCTCGATTTGGTGCGGCATGACGCCAAAATTTGTAACGCAGTTACTATCATTACATCTATAAGACTCATTTAATTTATACTTCCATATAGGGTTTTCCATACAGGCCCAGTGTTGGGCCATTAATAACTGATTGCCAGAGTTCAGATATTGGCGCAGTATTGGCAAACTAGTGGCGCAGTATGGTTAAGCACTGGATGACTTGAGTCCAGTTACTGGCCAAGTATTTGCCAGTATTGGCTGACCGAACCTTGGCCGTCAGTTGACAGTTGAAGCATTGATGACTAAGCGTTAGTTTCGTAACTGCTAGCGATCCTATATGGGTTAAATTCATTTAATGTTATATAAATTATACCATATATTTAATTATATTAAATATATGTTTAATGAATATTGAGTATATTTTGGTAAAAATAATTTAAACTTGCAGATGTAAAGAAAATTGAATTGTTGACATTTTTGACAAAGAGATTTATAATTGAATGAGTCCGCCGTCCGTCAGTTCTGACGGATAAAAATGAGCGACTTAATTAACGAATCGAGTTTTGTTATTTCTTCCTCCATTTTTCTCTGTAATTCTGCACTTTTTCATC